AAATTGAAAGTACGGTGAGTAAAATAAGAGAATATAATTAAATGAGGAAGGATGTATTTTACCCTAATAAAATGAAATAGACCCTGACACGTGAGGCGTTTTTCCTGAAATATCACCTATACCCTATAATTTTCCCTATCAGGCACCCTTCAGACTATTTTTCCCGATCTAACACCCTTTACAGTAAGACGCGCCCCCTGCAGCGCGCTTTACGCTGATATGGCGTCACGTGGGGTAAGGCGCGCCCCCTGCAGTGCGCTTTACGCTGACATTGACACACGTGTCTAAAGCGCAGCCCCTGGGGCGTGCCTTACACCACGTAGGGCTATAGCGCGGGTCAGGGGTCGAGCTTTTCAATTATCGCATGCTCAATTATCAGACATGCATAATGCAAGGCGGGATACAGGGACCGCGCCTTGCATTATTTACCCGGACCTCTCAGTTTTAAAGATTCCTAATAAAAGGATCTAATACACGGTCCCTCTCCTAAAATTAAATAATTACAAAAATTAATTTTTAAACTAATAATCATGCATTAAATAAATAAATAAATTATTACTAATAATTTAAATTATATTAAAACGTTAAAATGTCACCGTATCAGCAAAATGTCGTGATTTATGATTTTCATCCAAGCGAAGTAGAATTCCTTCCATTTTATATCTGCAAAAAAAAATTAATTAAAAAATATTAAAAAATTTAAATACTTAAAAAATTAAAAAAATATTAAATATAATAAAATATACCTTAAATAGTTAAAATAGAATATAAGAGTATTTGAGAGAAGTTAAGAGGATTTGGTGTGATGAAAGTGATTGAGAATAGGGTATTTATAGGGAGGGGGTGGGGTGTGAACGGCCGGGGTAGGGGGTAAATAAACCTAAGGTGCGCCATAGGGGGCGCTTCTTTCTGACGCGTGTCAGCATTAAAGGTAAAGCGTGGCCTTGCCCCGCGCTATACCCATGTGACGCCAGATCAGCGTAAAGCGTGCTGTATGGGGCGCATCTTACCCCATGTGGTGCCAGCAAAGGGTGTTAGATCGAGAAAAATAGTATGAAGGGTGCTTGACAGGGAATATTATAGGGTATAGGTGATATTTCGAGAAAAACGCCGATACGTGACAAGGAGTTTATGAAATTTTCGTTTTATTGGTTAGGAAATTCAAATGGGGAAAGGGTTTGCTCAATCTTATCCTCATATTATTTTATTATTTACTTTTTAAAGTTTGTCTCCGTAAGGACCAATCAATAAATGATATGTGTTTATTGTCAAAATAAAATTGTTTTTGTACTGTCTTAGGTTAGGTGAGATGACGCTTTCGGACTTAAAACTATTTCAGTTACATTTACAACAACAAAACTCTATTCCCATATGCAATGGGGTAAGGGGGAGGTAGGGTAGTAGGCTGCCCCCAACGCCAGGTTGAGAGCAGCTTCCGTGGAAGACTTTTGGCAGTCAGAAAATTAAAAAATAAAGATAGAATGCAATGCATGTATAAATAAATAAATACATAGTTGAACAGTCTTCATATGCAGCCTTCATATGCGTGTCTGTAATGGGAAGTAATCCCCGCAAATAAATCCTTGCGTAAATAATCTCTGCATATAAAAAAACGTATATAAATTAGAATTCATGGAAATTACTACAAAGGCATTAAGAGGAAGACAGAGTTGTTACATCCTATGGTTGTGACCTGCACTACTCGGCTACCCTGGTCTTAAGTCTCCATACTTTCCTATCAGATGTCATGTCCTCGGTAAGGGCTAAATCCTTCAAATCAGATCTCAAGCAGTCTTCCCACTTCCGCCTTGGTCAACCTATCCTTCTGGCACCGTCGACTGTAATAGACTCTACCCTCCTGATCGCATCCGACGGTTTTCGCCTAAGGACATGCCCAAACCACCATAGTCTTCCCTCCCTTAATTTTTCGGATACAAGCACCACCCCCAATGACATCCTAATAGCAGAGTTTGGTGTCATGTCCCATAGAGTCCTACCACATGCCCATCAAAGTATTCTTATTTCTGCGGCCTCCATCCTCCTTACGTGATCCTTCTTGATTGCCCAACATTCTGATCCATACAACAGCGTTGGTCTTATTGCCATTCTATAAAATTTTCCCTTAAGTTTTAGAGGCACATTCTTGTCACACAAAACTCAAGTAGCAACCCTCTACTTTATCCATCCCGCCTTTATACGGTGTGTAACGTCATCATCTACACCCCCATCTTTATGTATCATAGACCCTAGGTACTTGAAACAATCCTTTAAAGGGATAACATGTCCTTCTATGCATACTTCTACATCTTCATCGTTTTGGTTCCCACTGAAGTTTGAACATAAATACTCTGTCTTTTCATTATTGATCCTTAGACCTTTTTCTTCTAAAGCAGTCTTCCAGGTAGTTAGTCTACTATTCATCTCAGTTTTTGTTTCAGCAACTAGGACAATGTCGTCAGCGAAAAGCATACACCGTGGAACACCATTTGGTGTCGTCCATAATCAAGGCGAAGATGTAAGGGCTAAGAGTCGACCCCTGGTGGAGTCCGATTTCCACCGGGAATGCCTCGGTGTCGCCAACTGTAGTCTTAACGTAAGTAGTAGATCTACAGTACATATCACGAATCGTCCGAATATAAGCAGTTGGGATCTATATCATTTCCAAGGTCTTCCAGATCGTATCGCGGGGAACGCTATCATACGTCTTCTCAAGGTCAATGAATGCCATGTGAAGATCTCTATTTTTTCCCCTATATTTCTCCATAAGCCTTCGAAGTAAATGAATCGCCTCCGTAGTAGACCTGCCTAACATAAAGCCAAATTGGTTTTTCGAAACCCTAGTAACCTGTCTCAACCTAGCCTCTATCACCCTTTCCCATAGCTTCATAGTATGGATGAGTAGTTTAATACCTCTGTAGTTGCCTCAACGTTGGGGATCTCCTTTATTCTTATAGATTGGTATCACCGTAGACTCTCTCCACTCCTCTGGCATCTTGGATATCTTTAAAATAATATTAAATATTTGGTCAACCACTTAACTCCCTCTTCTCTTACGACCAACCACACAGTGATAGGAATTTGATCTGGACCGACAGCTTTGTCCCTCCCCATATTTCTAAGAGCCATTTTGACTTTCTCAAACCCAATTCTACTTGTAGGATAGTCTTTGGTCGTAGTATGATGATCGGCTGACCCATCGACAATACTATCTCTACAGGGAGAGGCACCCTCATTAAATAAGCCAAAGAAGTAACTACCCCAAACCCTCTTAATATCTTGATCTTTCACTAAAAGAACACCATTGTTGTCCTTAATAAACCTAATGCTACCTAGATTTTTTTTCCTATTTTCCCTGGATTTTGTAAGCCTGAAGATGTTGTTTTGTCCTTCCTTGGTGTCTAATCTCTTGTACATTTCCTCGTATGTCTTATCATTTTCTTTAGCCACTGTTTTCTTGGCTTCCCGCTTTGCCTCCTTGTATCTTTGTTTAGCTCTCGATTTTTCATTGTCGTCAGTGTATTGTAGAAACTCCTTGAAGCAAGTTTGCTTTGTCTTCACCTTAGTTTGGACTTCGTCGTACCACCACCACGATTCTTTATGTTCCTTGACCTTCCCTGTCGACAACCCAAGGGTGTTTTTCCCCACCTCTCTAATGGAATTTTCCATATTTTTCCATAACATGTCTACATTATTTGAGTTTGTAGTTCCAAAACTTGTATTAGACAAAACCTTACTCCTAAAGTCATCAATTATCGCTCCATGTAAGTTCTTCCAAAGAATCCTAGGATTACCAAGTTTAGCCCTCCTATGAGTGCTCCGCCCGTGGCGTACACGGAACACCAAAACCAACAATCTGTGTTGTGATGCACATGTCTCTTCAGGGAACACCTTACAGTCAATGCAAGCCCATCGATCCCGATTTCAAATCAGAATGTAGTCGATTTAGGTATAATGTCCCCCGCTATGAAACGTAATTAAGTTCACATCTCTCTTGTTAAAGAAGGAGTTAGTGACCACCATATCGTGTGCAGTAGCAAATTCAAGCAACGTACGCCCCTCCTCGTTTCTACTACCAAAATCGAAACCCCCATGAACACCATCATACCCGTCGGTTGCACTACCTATATGGCCATTGAAGTCTCCCCTTATGAAAACTCTTTGGTTCTTCGGGATTCTCCTAAGTACATCATCTAACTGATCCCATAAGCAACGTTTATCCCCCTCCCCTAGGCCAACGTGTGGGGAGTACACAGAAAGGATATTCACCACTTTCGCTTCTATAATAACCTTAATCATCATGATCATATCCCGGTATCTACAAACTTAAACTACATTTTCCTTGAGCCTATAGGATACGAAGATACCCACCCCATTTCTAGTATTATCTACGCCCGAATACCATAACTTGTACCTATTACACTCTCTGGCGCGAGCCCCTTTCCACCTAGTCTCCTGAATACATGCAAAATCTATTTTTCTATTACTAAGTACGTCGGTCAGCTCCGGCAGCCTAGCATTTAATGTGGCTACATTCAACGAACAAACTCTAAGTCTAGTCTCCTTAAGGAACTATGAAAAAGGAATCCAAAGAAGACAGAAGATGCACCAATAAAACGCTAGAGAATTGAGGGGTACTAAAAAGCCTAGTTGGTTACTTAATAGGATTTTACGACAAATTAACACTATCTTACTTAACTTTAGGCCAACAGCTAGAAACCAATGATTGGATTTATATCTTACTCAAATATGTAAAAGTTAGATACAACAGTCATTTTTATCTTTGTATCCAAATCCGAACATGTCAAACATATTTAACTTATTTAACCCCAAGATCTATAACTTTTAAAGCATCAACATATTTGATTTAATAAATTTCTAGCTACCATAAACAGACTAAAAATATAAGCTAAAAGAAATCAATCAAATGCTAACTCTAACAGGCATATCTCACTAGAATAACATTGAATCATATTATTCAAAACCAAGAACCCGAGTTAAACTATCAAACGCTAACAAAAGAGTAAGGGGAAAAAACAACTAAAATTGTTGGGATATATATAAAAAGAAAGGCAGTTCAAAACCAGATAACAGTGAAGAACCCGAAGAAGAGATCCGTGAAGAACCTGATTTAGGTGAGACCCAAACCCAGTTAGAGATCCGTGACGGTGAAGAACACAATTTAGGTGAGACTCAAACCCAGGAAGAGATCCGTGAAGAACCTATTTTCGGCTGAATCAAACTCTGCTTCCGTAGTGGAACAGAGAGAGAACAAAAACAACTGAAATTTCCGAGAATGAGAAACGAGAGAATGGAAGCTGATATACTCAGTGGCGACACGTTTTTACAAGAAAAATAAGATTTGGGTATTTGTTTTTTATGGCAGAAATGAAGGACCAATTACATTTGAGTTATCTAATTAAACAATCTTTGCTTAACTACTAATTCATACCAATAAACTAAAGCGTAAAATACGCGTTTAGAATTTTAATTATTAGTTTTGATATGTTTTAGTTTTAAAATTTTTAATTTTTTTAAAATCATATCCAACATTTAATTTTTGTTTCTTTTTAATATCTCGTTAAAAATTTAACGTTACATTTTGAAAAGAAATTGAAAGTTTAGGTACTAAAATAGACCAAAACTAATAGTTTAGGTACTAAATGCGTTAAATTTTTAACGGTGGGTTACTAAAAATGAAACATAAACTAAACGTTAGGTATTGTTTTGAAAAAATTAAAAGTTTAGGTACTAAAACGGATCAAAAATGATAATTTAGGTATTAAGCTCGTAGTTTACCCTAAACTAAAAACATATATCAAAATTAAATAATTGATATATTTAATTATGATTAGATTTAAATTAATTACAATTTAGATTAGTATATGCGAAATGTGTATTAATAATATATATTTTTATTAAAAAAATATGTACTAGGTTAGAAAATTGTGTTTGAAAATATAAATTAATAAATAATGATACAAATATAATGTCAACTTGTTCTCATATTCTATTATAATCAGGGGCGTTGCTAAGCAAGCGCATAGTGTGCGACGGTGCAGGGCCTAAAAAAACAGGAGCCCCGAAATAGAGTATATCTATCAGTTGTTGTCATTAAGAAGCAAAAAAATAGATATAGAGCAGTTGTTAGATAATTGGGCCCATGATTTTGTTGATCTTAAGTTTGAATCTCGTTAACAAGCAAATTTATTTTTGGGAAAAAACAAGTTCAAATTTGTATAGGGCTCCCGAAATAGAGTATATCTATCAGTTTTTTAAGTTAATGAAATTAGTCATTTATTATTTCAAAAAATAAGTTTGAGATCTAAGGGTCCCTTTACAACAATTTGCACAGGAACTCCAACAACCTAGCCACGACCCTGATTATAATGTCAGTGTTTGTGGTATTTAAAGTTAGAAAAATAATAGAATGAATTGCTGTTATAAATAATAAGTCATGTCACTTGATGAATAGATTTAATTTTTTGTTTAAAGTTACATTCATTCAATCATATATATATTCAATAATTCTCTTCATCAAAAGGTTAAGTCATTTCATAAAAAGATGATAACTCTTCAATCCATTTCCACTCTATGCAAGAAAGTGAGAACCCCCGGTGAAAGACACGGTCAGAGAAGAACGGTTGAAGAACAAGAAAACAGTTAAAAGGGAAAAATAGAATTTAGTAAAGTAAGAGAAAAACTGTATTGAGTTAGTAACAATATGTTTCATTAATGAAAAACTCCTTTAACCTAACAACACAATACATGAGCATTTAAATAGCCCAAAACACAACCTCCTAACTAATTTAACAGAAATTCAGTTACAACAACTTAGTTACAAAATCGAATTTAACAATCCTCTATTCCTTATACTCTGATACTCCATCATATAAAGGTTAAGTTGTGACACATTTTAGACAAACCTTTGAATTTATTTCAATTCATCAAATTCATCGGATTAGATCATTTTGCACACCCTTATGTGGCATTTGGTTCGCAGGAATCCCTTGGAATTAGGGGGAATTGGAATCCAATTCCACCACTTTCCCATGATTGGTTCAAGTTTTCAAAGGGAATTAGAATCCTAAATGACTTCAACTTTCGATCAAGGGAGGGAAAGTAAATTCCATCCATAACATGAGGAAAATCCTTTTGAGGAGGGAATGTGAAATTTGACCATACTACCCTCATCATTATTTTCCACATATTTACTTTTTATTTTTCTTATTTTATTTTATATGTTTTTTTCTTTTCTTTTCTTTTCTTTTCTTTTTCTTTTTATTCTTTTCTTATTTTATTTTTTATATTAGTTTTATTTATATATTTGTTTTCATTTTTATTTTCCTCTTGTTTATTTATTTATTATGTATATACAATTATTAGTATTTTCCTTTATTTTATTCTTATTTTTATTTTATTTTACTCGTTATCTTTATTTTGATTATTTTATTTATTTTTCTTCATTTTTTTCTTTTGTTTTTTATGTTCTTTATTTTATTTAGTTTTTTATCTTTATTTTATTTTTTATGTATTTTCTTTATCTTATTTTCCTTTTTTCATTTATTTTTATTTCCATTATTTTTATTTTTCTTTAGTTTATTTATCTTCATTGCCTTTTTTTTAACATGCTTCTCAAGTCTTTTAAGGGTACACTTCCGAATCCATCAGGGGTAAGTGATTGAGATCGTTATTTTACCTTTTAATTTAAAGTTACAATCTTCTTAATTAAAGACAACTGAAAATTGCGTAGTACCGAAAGGGCAGTTCAAGGGTGCTAACCCTTCCTTTACTTGTAAGTTTTTGGTATATTTTTTGGTAACTAATTGACATACTTCGATTGGGATGTATCGAAATATTGCTCTATCTTTTGGTAACTTATTAATATATTTTGTTTGGGATGATTTTAACTTATGATGTTTATTAGCATATTTTTTATAATTTATTGAAATATATAATCAATCAATAAAATGAAAATTTAATATTTTTTAAATTTTTATAATATATTGCTACATGTAAGTTATAACACAAACTAAAATTAAGCAAAAAAAAAAACAAGAAGGGCAATTATGTCATTTTACATTACTGAAATCAAATTCATCGAACATGTCTGCGAACCAAACATAATATGAAATTGGATTCCAATTCAATTTCCTGCCAACCAAACAGGTTTCAGATTCAGATTCCAATTCCTGACAGATTCCAATTCCTTCAGAAACATTCCAGCGAACCAAACAACACCCTAGTACTTGGTTATCCACCACTACCCACCACCCAGTATGAACAAAGTCCTGATAAAATTATAACTTCAAAAATAAAAGAGTAAAATATACAAATGGTCTCCGATTATATGGTGTTATTTTGTTAAGTTTTCCGACTATTAAAAGTTATAAAATAGTCTATCGATTATAAGTTATTATTTTTTTGAGTCTCTCAACTATTAAAAGTTACAAAATGATCACTTGACTATTCATATGTTCCAAACTTGTCCCTTTTCGTTAACAAAATTAATGACCTTCTAAATTGAACATTAACCTATTGATCGAGATATAATAAAACATTGGATCATTTAAAACAAAATTTAAAGTAAAAAGATAATAAATAAAGAAATAAATAGACTCAATAAAACAACATTTTATAATCGGAGGACTATTTGTGTACTTTATCTAAATAAAAATAAATAAATAGATAAAAAAACGAAGGAAAATTTAAAGTAAGACATTAGGACAAGGTTACAGTAAAGACTAATTATGTAAAATACTATTATTACCGATTTTTATAGAGTTTCGATACAAACATTGAAAATATAGGAATGATTGAAATTTTGAATTTCAAAATAAAATAGAAAATTTTAATATACATTTCTATTATTAATTGTTTTGATCAAGTAGAAATATTATATTTTTCACAATAAATGCCTGGATTTAAATTCAAGATGAAATAATATGAATATTCTTAACCAATTGATCAATTAATTGATTTTAAATTTTAAGAAAGAGGTTAGGAAACAATGGATTGACATTCAGCAAAATAGGTGGGAATAGAGATGGATAGAGGTAAGGTTCTCGATCAATTCGATCTAATTCAAAAATTATATACATTCCGCCCGACCTAAACCCAACTTTAAAATATATATCATTCATCCGATCTGAATCTAATCCACCTTTTTGAGATAAAATTCAAATCCGAACTAACCCAAAATAATATATTTATAAAAAATATTTTTATTCAATAAAAAAGAAGATTTAATTAAAATATAATGCACTAAAGGATACTATTATAATTATCACTAAATATATGCATCCTTGGTAGAAATGGAATATGCTTCATCACATTCAATGGTGAAAATCTTATCCCATTTCCTTAAATTGATCTCACCGAAATTAAAGGAATCTGAATATTCTCTGATTTTATTCCCCAAAAAATTATGACAACCACACTCGAAACACTAGCATTTGACGGTGATTTGACCAAACTGACACCCTTTAATCGAATATCTCCCTTTTTAGCATTGTTTGTATTATATTTCCCGAAGTAGCACCCTTTCGGGTGAGGTGGCGAAAGGCGCATCCCCGAGGATGCGCTTTACCTGGTTTTACGCTGAGTTGGATGCCACGTGTGAAAGGCGCATCCATGGGGATGCGCTTTACCTTTATTTTGCTGATTCAGTTGCCACGTGTGAAAGGTGCATCCCCCGGGGACACGCCTTTCATTAAATGTCTTAAATGCCCATCCGATTTTTCCCCAACTACCCCTCCTCCTCACCCTATATAAACCCCCTCTCATTCTTCACACCAAAATCATCTTCTTCTTTCTTATATAACTCAAATTCTCCAAATCTTTGAGTTTTAAATTTCTTATTAGTGGTAAGAAATTTATTTTTTAGTTATTATTATTTTAAATAGTTATTATATTTTATATTAACATAATTATATAAATATTATTTTTTATTAAAATAATATTTATATAATTATTATTTATTTAAATTTATTAATTAATTAATTATTTTTTGTGC